ACCATCATTCATATTTTGCTATTTCAGTACCATTGACTATATGCATATTACCATCTTTATTACCTGGGAGTTGATAACAACTTACTTGAAGGTCACTGTAAGGCCAAACTTAGTCAGGGATCTATCTGAAGTGTTATCCTTGACCACTTCTAAGGAAAGGGAAAATGCAGATTCCTTCTTAGGTGATAGCACATTTTATCTAAGGGTGGCCTAGAGAGAATAGCAAATCATAAGAAAACCCATCCTGTAGTAGAATTAAGGGGGGTATTATTTCTCTATGTTTATTATTAATGAACCTCACATTCTTACTATTAGAGAATCAGTGCTAAATTAAGTTGTTTAGTGTTCAGTAGACACAGAATCTTTAACAACATGATTTCATGAGGGTAAATACTTTCTAACAGCAATATTCTTTAAGAAACTTTTCTGTTAGCCAACTATTCTAACAGTGAGTATCTCTTCATGAAATAACTTACATTTTCTGCTATTAATTTGAAAACATAAATGTTTTCCAGAAACAGGTAATGGAAATATACACAATGGGAGAATAATACTTCATATATAATTGAAGCACACTTCTTTTCCTGGAAAATATTCCTCTCCCTTTCAGGTAGTTTTCTATTACCTGGATAAATGCACAACCTTGTCCTTCCACATCTACTGTGTATTGTCCATATGCTTTTGTTAGCTCTGACCCTTGGACCAGTAAGCGGTTATCACTGTTAATCTGAAAAATCTCATTGCCTCTTTTACTGCTAAAGGTGACAGTGTTTTGATCATTAGAGAAGGTTAACTTCATGTAGCGGGTTACGGCAAGAAAATAGACTTCAGTGCCCTGTACAAAACAGTATAAGCAATAATCCAAGCTTAGTTATATGATATTAGTCATCATTTGACTGTGAACTTTAAATCAACCCCTAGAAATAGTCCTAAAACAGGTCAACAGAACACTGCTAAGCAATATCCTGAACCATGGGAAATATGCTTGCTTATGTAACTTGTTGCCATTTAACTTGATCTCCTTCAACAAATCTTAATTAAATTTCAGTTTTCTAAAGACTTCATAAAATATAATCTCTGCTGTTGAAAATGGTGCCAATTGTTTTTCTAAAAGTTAGTGTCCTATAATTTGGTGACCCCCTGACTGCCTTGGCTAATTCTTGTGTCCACACATATTCAAAGAAGGGAAATCAGAATCAGGAAAATATCTTTGGAGTTCCACTTGCACACGGATTTACTCTGAAACTAAGACTAAAAAAAAAA